ACCAACGTTATCACAATTTACGCCTATATTTCATTCTATGAGTACTAATCAATCAAAATATAATCGTTTTTATCGGAATATAACAAACAGTTTGCTATTTTTAGTTGGTGAAAATACCAATCCTTTGGTTTACATTCCCGAGACCATTTTGGAATTTATGCAGAAGGTAGCAATTGTGAACAAGAGCAACACAATAGATTATATAATCGTTATATATAAACCCAAACAGATATATATATAGTATAGATAGTGTCTATGTTTAGTGTAAAACGTGGTTTGTTGATAGCATTATATAACGTTTTACAATCGTGACTTCTGTACCACGTAAGTATGTCCATTATATTTTATTGATTAGTCAAAAGTATTTTAGACATCTTATATATAAAATTCCAACAACATCATCGAAGAGATTAATTCGTTTTTGACGTTAAAAATAATTTTATAACTATTTTAATAGGTCTGAGAATTGGCCAACACCTATTTTTCATCCCCCTAAATGTTAGGGGTAGTCCAGTCCATCCCAAAATTTTTATTTTTTTATTTTTTAGACAAAGTTTTTAGTTTCTATTTTTAGTTTCTATTTTTTTATGATACAACATACAAAAATACATACAATCCTAAATTTTCACCCTTCTATCATCAACCTCTATTTTTTTATAGCGTTATTAATTTATATGGCAAAACAACGTTAGCCGGGACAGCTAGTATATGTATTTCGGATGTACGCAAATAAACAACTTGATATCATAACATACTGCATTTTGTACATAACTAACTACTCGCCCTGGTGTACATGTATTATATATTTAAACCTTCCTGTAGAATCACTCTATATATTAAAAAACTTCTTCAAAATCAGTTGCGTAGTTTTATACATTTAAGCATACATAGGGACAGACAGCGACAGCGACTTTATTTTATGCTATGTAAGGATAATGATCAATAAGTATTCGAAATTAAGTTTTAATTGTTATAAGATTTGGTACAATTTTAATTGTTGGCAAATTTCTTTATTTGTTATCATTGAACCCTTTAAAAAAAAGTCTTAAAACCAATCGTTAGGATTCTTCCACTGGTATAAAGGACATAAATAAATCCCTTCATATCAAAGAATCAGTATTTTGAATTCGATTCGTATTTGATTGAATCATGTAGTGCCTAAAAATAATTTTATAACTATTTTAATAGATATTTATGTTAGCATATACAACGTACACACACTTGTCATCCGCACCCCCTTACGGGGGTGAAGGCCTCGGAGCGAACCCCTGTCCCCCGACGTCAAAATCGGGGGCAACAACCCCGAGGGGATTAATTAAACTTAAAAAAAAAATAACAGTAAAAATATTAGAATAACTTGTGTATTGTTCTTTTTAATAAATAATTACACAATAACAAGTAAGAGGCATGCGATAATTAATATAGAAACCGCTACGCACTCATTCATAGATATTAATCAGATAATATTGTCAGTGAATTTTAAGTTTTTTCTGCAAAAACAAAACGTAATGATGCACCTACCTGCGCTAACGTTTTATGCTGGCGGGCCAGTGGAGCATGATTTAATGAGAATGAAGTAGGTGAATTCACCTGAAGTTATCCACGATAGTTTCCAGGGTGTACCGCGTGGAGGTCGTCCTCATTTTCTGACTGATTCTGATGTTACCAACCACAGCATTAATCTTGCACGATATTTGCAATGTATTGAAAGTTTGTCGACAAAATTAAAGAAGCGATCGCATTTCGGCCCAAATATCAAGGTCAATGAACGGTAAAAATTCTTGTTGACATAACAAGTTGCCCATCAAAACCTTCTCGTTTTGATTAGCTACATTTATACAGATAAATAAATATTTAAATGTCAGTTTGTAATATCAAATTAACAGATTTTCACTAAATACATACGAAAGTATATACGGTACCTATATCCAAAAAGTCTGTCTGTGTTTGTTCTTGTTAATTTCTGAAATAGCTGGACTGATTTTAACATAACTTTCATTCCCAAATGGCTAATATTATAAGAAGTCACTTTTATTAAGAAGGCTACATATATTTTAGAAATTGGATTTATTTTAATAAAAACAATAAGTTAATACGAAATGACGATATGTTGAAGTAATGGTAACCTACTAACCATGAAGATACGGAGTTGTTAATAATAAAATCCAGTAATCGTAGTAATAGCATTGTACCATGTCAATCACTTATGTGGAGAAATAACCTGACGGTGACGATTCTATAGATGATGGGATGGGTAGGTTGATAATCCTACAGCAGTGCATGTGCATGTGTTGGGGCATTGGTGGGGCAAACTAGTGCAATTCAGCTCAAACTTCCAAATATTCCATTACCCTCCCAAAAAAAAACGTACTAATATCGCAGCAAACAAATACATAATTTACAGTCCACATTTTACTGTCTGTTAATGTACCTTTCTATATGTGAGTGATTTTTTAAATCCATCAAGACATTTTCGTCTTACCTCATAGAACCAAATAATGAAATCTTTCCTCTTTATATATTATACATATATCTATATATATAACTCAAAGGTGACTGACATAGTGATCTATCAACGCACAGCCCAAACCACTGGACGGATCGGGCTGAAATATACATGCAGGTAGATGTTATGACATAGCCTTCCGCTAAGAATGGGTTTTGATTAATTCTACCCCCAAGGGGATAAAATACGGGATGAAAGTTTGTATGAAACTTTGTCAATTTTAAACCGATTGGTCTGACACTTTGCATTCATAAAGCTACCATGACGTAGGCATCCCCTAAGAAAGGATTTTGATAAATTCCACCCCTAAGGGAATAAATTAACGCGAGGGAAGCCGCGGGCAAAAGCTAGTCTATATATATTTTTAGGACAATTCACACAGCATCATCTAGTTCCAAACTGTGTTATAACTACTAGACAACTACAAGATACATAGTAACTTTTTTGTAAATACATACTTAATATACATACATATAAAAAACGCCCAAACTGATACAAACAATCATACTACACTACTATATGATACATACTGCGTACAAATGTTTCTACAGTGCGAGGAATCGAACCTACGATATCGGTAGTAAGGTGTGCTAAACTGCTACACCACCGCGTCCGTTAAAATATATTTATCTATACATATATCGAGACATTGTATTGTTTTGTAATTCAGAACCGGTATCAATAAATAAGTATGACGTACCTTTTAATACAAAACTGGATATATTAACTTATAAATAGGAGTTCAAGATCGCAATGGTGCACGATGAATTGAAATCAGAAGGTTGTTGCGTTTATTTAGTACTTACATATTACTAGATATTTCTATACCGTTGTTTTATAAATCTCGAATGGCAAACAGGCCTACACCCGCCTGGACAATATGTTTTTCTTTAATGGATGAATGGAATGGTGCGTCCGCCTGCGCTAACAGTTCACGCTGGTGGGGCACCAGTGGAGGATGATAAGATCAGCATGAGGTCAGGTCAGTTAGGTCATATTCACCAGGAATTTATCACGGTAGTTTCCAGAGGGAAACACGTGGTGTACTTGTCATGGTACATTACTAACAATGGAGTTATCAGTCCACATTACTATAAGCCCCGTCCCCCCTATGAGAGATTCATTCATTCGTCAGTCTGAGTACATCTATTGCAGTCGCCAAGTAGCTCATATTATAAGATGTATTTCGAATAAATGGTGAGGTGTTACTAATATTATAAACGCGAAAGTATGCGAATGTGGATGTAAGGTTGAATTGATGTTTGTTACTCTTTCACGCAAAAACAACTAAACGGACTTTTATAAAACTTTACAATAATATTGCTTATACAAAGATCTGTATAACATATCCCATCAAAAACATAAATGTGAAATGATAGCCGAGTTTAATATTATGATATATGCCTTGATTGTTGACTTCTACGACAAAAGAGATGAGATCTAAATGGGTTTGGCACCCAATTTCCAAAGTTCAATGGTCTGTCCTGAAATGTATTTATAACAATATAAAATATCATTTCTTCTTATAACTTAGGATAATATACCCTAATATAGCCTATAATATAGCCTAAGGTCTAACTTGGCCAGTTCTCATATACCAATTATTACTTTCGATTGCTAATTACTACTAATATTAAAATAGGAACCTACAAGTAACATGTTTAGAACTTGCGAAGGCTACAGTATATTTCGTATATGAAAACTAGCCTTTGCCAAACTTGCCAGTTTACTTGAAACTCGGCTTGACACGCTACCGCGTGTCTAGATAGGTTAGAAATGTCACGCGGTTGAATCCGCCGGCACAGCTAGTATTATAAACAGGAAAGTTTGTGAATATGGATGGATGCATGGTTGTTACTCGTTCACACAATAACTACTGAAAGTATTTTGATTAAACTTTACAGTAGTACAGATTATACATAAGAATAACACATAGGCTATAATTTAAAAAGATATCATGTAAATTTGGCGAAATATAATGACAAATTTCAAGTAAGTGTGATGCAAACGAATCGGTCGGTCGGGTCATCTGTAATAGTAACGCAGCTAGTAAGTATTTAATATTACAGGATATGGAGGCGTAACATTCCAGAGGACAATTATTCCGGAGCCTCTAGAATGGCTGTCTTTATTTAATACAATTTAGTTTGCGACTGATTTATGTGAGATAGATGTCTCTACGCTCTCTGATGACTTTATACTATACTTCCGATTGATCCCTCGTCTAATTCAAACGGGGATCGATATTACAATGGCCTGAGCCGAGGTTCGAACCTCTAGCGGTGCCCTCAAACTAAAGTCGTATCCGTCAGGCGGGAGTTGGCCTTCAGCCGCTCCATAAGTCCTCAGCGGGTTTGGAGTGCCATCTGCAATCGCAAAGGTGTAAAGGCCAGTTACGGCCAACAGCATTACAGTAGTCTGATTTCTTTTTCGGACTACTCTTTACCTTGGTAAAGTCGGGTCATCTTGTAAACAATTTTATCTTCCTTTTCAGTAACAATCCCGCTGGTCAGCTTCGGCATGGTTCAGGGGTGGCTGTCCCCCATGATCTCAGTGCTGCAGTCACCTGAAACTCCATCTCCTGAACCGTACACCACATCTGACATATCCTGGATGACGTCAGTCACATATATCACTGCGATCATCTTCGGCGCTCCCATGGGATACCTGACTGACAGATACGGGAGAAAAATGATGACTCTTCTCACAACCCTATCATTAATTGTAAGTTTATTATTTTTATTTGGCAATATTAGTAAATCAAATTGAACCGACTTCATCATCATCATCATTGCCTTGCCTTTATCTCATTATTTGGGGTCGGCGCAGTATGTCATTCTCTTCCACTGCTCTCTATCGGTCGTCATATCTAAACATACTCTTCTTTTATTCATATCATCTTTCACACAATCCATCCATCTTTTCTTAGGGCGTCCCCTCCCTTTACAACCGACTTAAAAAAACAATTATCAATTCGTGTCATTTTTTATGTGTGTTACCTAATAACTTTTTACTACGAAAATCGATTTTGAGTTTTTTTCAACTCGATGTCCAACCTGTAGTTCTTGTTATATTTTTTATAATACGATTGAAATACTTTTTTGTGTCTGAAGATGGCGTGTGCTGTCGATATAAAATTAAATTTTGACTATGATATAAGTTATTTGTTAATTAAAATTTAAATTGTTTTTTTGTAACGCGTCTAATAATACTCAAAATCTCATGTTTATAACATGTGTACAAAATGAAACAGGTTGACAGGTAGACCGAGCAGATGCAATACTTAAATTAAGAAAATTTAAATACCTACCTCCCAAACAATTCTTTATCTCTTTTATTCTTTCACACAAAACCTTATTTCCTTCCCTTTTTTACTTATAGCTATAGAATTTGCATTTAATTGTATTGAAATGGGTCTCTAAAAAGATCACGGTTTACTTCCGTTCAGCTGATATTTTTTTATTTAGACGGATCTCTTCACAGTTGTGCAGTTAACTTTTTTATCTACATTCAATAATCATTGCTTTGTTGTTTACGAACCGACTAAGACAACATAAGAAGGAGATTCCAACATCAACTAATTTTGATTAACTATTATTCAAATTCTAATTAAAAAAATATTTATTCATCTAAGAAATTTTAGTCGCCTATATAAAATAAAAATATGAATACAATACTAATAATAATATAAAAAACTGAACTGTCATAGTTAACTTTTTTGTATTCATATTTTTTCATGCCTCACATCTCGGTATTTGAATGCCTATTCCACGGGTAATCTGCGCCTAATAACGGAAATGCAGCTTACAAAGCAAGCTGCTGGGCAGCTGACGTAGACGAGACTGAGGTAACGATATGGACGACTTATACAATGTACCTCTGGTACATATGAACAGCGCCACGTACATTATGTTATAACCCCTCCGATCCCCCGTCAAATTCAAACGGGGATCGAAATTACGACGGCCTGAGCCGAGGTTCGAACCCCTAGTGGTCCCTCAGACTAAAGTCGTATCCGTCAGGCAGGAGTTGGCCTTCAGCCGCTCCATAAGTCCTTCCGCGGGTTTGGAGTTCCATCTGTACTCGTCCCCTAACGTCCGGTGAAGCTGTAAAGGCCAGCTGCGGCCAACAGCATTACAGTAGTCCGAAAAAAAAAAAACATTATGTTATCACATATCACTCGCTGTACTCATTATTACTTCTACAGTTCACTAAATAATATTAATTTTTTATACACGTCCCTCCACTTCTATCCCCCGTTAGGGCCCATCACTTCTTATTAGATATAAGATTAATTATTCTTTCAACACTATAGTGCCCGACTGCTTTTTAATCCCGAGAAAAAATTGGACCTCGACGCAGTATCTACCAGTGAAATTGTCAAATAACATTACACTTTTATACAAGCCCTTCCGTCTTTATCCACCGCTAGGGCCAATATTCTTGGCGTAATCCTTTCAAGGCACATTTTAACACAACCTTCGGAAGATATTATTACAACGTTAAAAAATATCAACAGTCTAGCGCACAACTGCTTTTTAGAACGGGGTTAACAATTGACGATGCAGTGTCTATTGTAATGTTTTTTTTCTACTACTACTATTTTCTTTTCCCCAGATATATTGGCAGATAAAGTTGCTATGTCTGGAACCGTGGGCGTTGATCCTAGCTCGCGCAGTAGCTGGGATACCTTGCTCTGCCTGCTACATAGTACTCCCTATATACCTCAAGGAGATCAGTGATATTGACTTACGAGGTGCATTAGGCTCTCTACTTATACTAAATAGGTGAGTTTCTTTTAAATACATTCATTAATTTACTAATCCTGACTGTTAATATAAATGCGAAGGTAACTCTGTCTGTTTGTCTGTCTGTCTATCTTGCTTTCACGCCAAACTTACTGAAACGATTTAAATAAAATTTGGCACACAGATAGTCTAAGGAAAGACATAGGCTACTTTTTAAATACTTTGCAAATAAGAGTTCTAAGGGTAGAAAGGGGAGATGTAGAGAGGAAGTTTGTAAGGAATATCGTCATTTTTGAAGCTAAAATGATAAAACTTTTTTGTATTACATTATTGAATATATGTTCTTTATTTCATCAAGGTCAATATTACATGTGGATGAAGTCGCGGACACAGTTAGTATTATATAAGGTTCCAATAACGATTGAATCATCAGGGGCGCGTGTCACGTGCGCGTTGCCAAGCCTTTATTTTTATGTGGATATGTAGCTTCTATAGTCTACAGTAACCGTTTACTATCAGATGGGTCGTATGCTTGACTGGCTGACCCGCGTAACTTCAACTTAAAATCTACTTTTATCACTAGGACTGACATAGCAAACGATGTTACACAGCTCAGCTAGTTAGGCATAGTTTTATTTAAATAAACATTTCTTTGCTTCTTTATGTACAATATTAGTTATATTTTCGAATGAGAAAATCATTTTAAGATTCAAATTGCTGCACCTCGTCGAGTTTCTCAGCTACTCTATGGGTTATTAAAGTTTATATTATTAAAATAAGTGGTTAAGTTCTTCTACTAATATCCGATATCAATTTTATTTTCTATTTAGAAAATCAAATTCTATTCTAAATAACATAAATACATAGGTAGATCGTAAGCCATTATGTATTTATGTAAATATTTAGGTACATTTTCTACAATGAAACTAGTTTCTATCTATTTATAGGTATTATTAGTAGACTATTATGTATTCTGTAGTATTATTAAACAAAACACGTAATCTGGTCAAGACTGTACAGTGCCCGATACAAGATTGCATCGATTTGGTTTTTCTAGGTAATAACAGAAGTAGTTTAAATTGTTACTGAATAAATAAATATAAAATATCAGTTGCTCGGTAAATTTTTGCTTATTTTTACTTATTTAGAGCAATCTAAATATATATAACTCAAAGGTGATTGACATAGTGATCTATCAACGCACAGCCCAAACCACTGGACGGATCGGGCTGAAATTTGGCATGCAGGTAGATGTTATGACGTAGGCATCCGCTGAGAAAGGATTTTGATAAATTCCACCCTTAAGGGGATAAAATAGGGGTTGAAAGTTTGTACAAAAGTACTGTAAAGCCGCAAAAACTATACCTAATAATATAATAATACTTCTTAATGCGAGCGAAGCCGCGGACGACAGCTAGTATGATATAAACCTTGCGGAAAATTTTAAATTAGATCTATTATTTCTGCCTATCACAAAGATTTAGACTTCTACAGTGGTTTGCCTCTGGTGGTCTACCACTCTTTCTTACATAAGTTGTGTCTTATTTTGAAGGATGGCAGTGATTTCGGTAGTTGCTCCAATAGCATGGACATTAACGCTGGCGTCCCGCAAGGCTCTGTTCTCTCCCCGACACTGTTTTTGCTGCATATTAATGATTTGTTAACTACGGTTGACATTCATTGCTATGCGGATGACAGTACTGGGGACGCGTCTTACACGGGCCGTGCGAACATCCCTCTTTCCGTTGTGGAGTCAAAGCGCGAACAGCTTGTGTCTGAAATCGAGAGTACTCTCACCAGAGTCTCCGATTGGGGGCGATTGAACTTAGTTCAATTCAACCCTACCAAGACACAAGCCTGCGCGTTCACCGCTAAGAAAACCCCTTTTGCTGTGGCTCCGCAATTCCAGAACACGTCCATTACCATCTCTAAGAGCATTGGGATTCTCGGTGTCGACATCTCTAGCACAGTTGAGTTCCGTAGTCATCTCGAAGAAAAGGTCAAGCTGGCGTCCAAGAAGCTCGGTGTGCTGAATAGAGCGAGGCGGTACTTCACTGCGAACCAGAGACTTCTATTGTATAAGTCGCAAGTTCGGCCGCACATGGAGTACTGCTCTCATCTTTGGGCAGGAGCACCTGGATACCAGCTCGGTCCTTTTGACTCGGTTCAGAGACGTGCTATGAGAATTGTCGATGATCCCAATCTCTCTAACGGTATCGAACCACTTAGCTTGAGGCGAGACTTCGCATCGCTTTGTGTGTTCTACCGAATATACAATGGACTGTGTTCTGATGAATTGTTTGACATGATGCCTACGGCTACCTTTTACCATCGCACCGCTCGCCATCGACAGGGAATTCATCCCCACACGCTGGAACCTAAGTGGTCTCGTACAGTGCGGTTTCAGAGGAGCTTCCTCCCGCGTACACTTAGATTGTGGAATGAACTACCTGCCGAGGTTTTCTCGAGAGACTACAGCATGGGGGTTTTCAAGAAGGGTATATTAAGGTTTCTTAAGGGTCGGCAACGCGTATGTGACACCCCTGGTGTTTCAGGCGTCCATAGGCTACGGTAGCCATTTACCATCAGATGGGCCGTATGCTTGTTTGCCACCTAAGTGGTATAAAAAAAAAAAAAAATATTACAGGGTATAGTCCTCAGGTGCTTGTGACGTATATAGGCGAAGTATAAGATCATGAACTATTTTTTACGGTTTTTCATTATTAACCTGTACATACCTAGTATATTTTAATAATACCATGGTTTGACCTGTGCTAGCGGGATAAACTGACGAAGCACCACTGGAGGTTGATAGGATGAACATAAGTTCAGGTCAGTTAGCCCATCGTGATAATATCACCGGAAATTAACTACAATAGTCTCCAGAGAGGACCACGTGGAAGTGTCACTAGTCCCCACAACTAAATCATCTAACTAGGGGAGAAGGTGTCCGGTTGACCTCCACGCGTTTCCCCCTGGAAACCATCGTGATGAATTCCCGGTGAATTTATTACGATGGGCTAACTGACCTGACCTCATGTTCATCCTATCATCCTCCACTGGTGCCCCGCCAGCGTAAACCGTTAGCGCAGGCGGGTGCACCATTCCATTGTCATCCACTAAAAAAAATCATATAACTAATCATCTTTAGGCCCCAATTCTACTCATAATAATTATGTGCCCCTTTTGTACATGTCCCATTTCAGTAAAAAGCAGTAAAGGCCTTCTAAGGTTAACAACCTCTGAATAGTCGCAAAAAAACAATTCACTAGAGCATAGGAAAATTTCCAAATCCACATAAAATACATAAATAAAGCACAATCTGACAACAATGGATACATTGTGATACAAATTTATTTTAAACAGACGAGATTTCAGTATTCCTTTACAAAATTATTCAGACATATAAGCAGTCAGATTAAACCGTATAGAAATATAAAAAACGAAGCACAGAACTGATTATCAATGTGGTATTCTAAGTACAAACTACAATAGTTTCACAACTAAGTACATATAGGTAACTTTTGTTATTTTAATGTATTTTTGTTGGACGTAATGAATCTTTTATAACAAAAGAATTAAGCTAATACGTATCTAATTATTTCTCTATAGAATCGGTTACCATGTTTGGAGATTTTCTTCCTCTATACCTAATTTTTGACAGCAGTAATTATACAATAGATAATAGTACTCCATATTATACAATTCGTTGAAAAGGGAAATCTTAAAAGGGAATTTTAATAATGCGATTATACACAGCAGAATAACACATAAGGTATAAGGTTGTTCGGAAAGTAATTTCGTTTTTTCCTAACTTAGGATTTAATTATATTTTTTGCACTCAACTTCACACTTAAAGCGTATAATTTTTTTTTGCTTTGAGAGCTCATATAGCAAGGCTTGTGTGTGAAAAATACAATTAATGCTACGCAGTAGTTTTTGATTGGTACCCTTTTAAATATCAAGTAAGTAAGAAATTACTTTCCGAACAACCTAATATAATTTTAAAGTATAATGATAGGTCAAGACGTGAGGAAATCAGAAAGTAGGCAGTATCAATATTACGAGTTGTTATGTGATCATAGCATAGTTAAAATTATTAACATAATTCTTTTAATATAACAATAAAGACCGTCCGATGAATCGAACCTGCGACCATCGGACGTAATGCGACGTGCTAAACCGCTAGACCACCGAGGCCGTCAATATATTTATAGATACATACGTAGATAAAGTTGCGGGCGGACACTACTATGTGAAATTTATTTAATTAAAAAAAAAGTTAAATGAACGCGGACGAAGTCGCGGTTAACAGCTAGTATCATTACTTATATTATTACGTGAAGCAAAATATTTGTACCCCTTTTTACGAAAATTAGGCGAACGGAGGAATATGAAATTTCGCAATTTATATAGAGAAGAAGTGCAGAATACTAAAATATTTTTTTTAAATCTATATATCTATGTATATATATAAATGAAATTTGTCTGTTTGTAATATATATATACATGCATATGAATATATATATTTTCTGTCTATATATATAAAATGGCTGGACATATTTTGACGGGACTTAGGCTAACTCAGGCTACTTTTATTGTAGATTTTTATATTAATTTTAGAAAAATACTTATATAATTATTTGAAAAAAATTACGAGCTGAGTTTCTTGTCAGTTCTTCTCATCTCGATATATATATACGGTAGATTTGACATATCATAAGAGTCTGTAATAGACCTACATGAATAAAGATATTTTGAATTTGAAATTTGAATACAGTATAGAAATAAATTCCACCCGGACGAAATCGCAAGAACAACTAGTTTAACATAAAAATGTATTACATACATTATTATGTATTTGAAACACATAAGCATAGAATTAATAGTATTTGATGATAGAACCTTAATAACGCCTTATACCTTAATAACGCCTTATACCTTAATAACCTTATACCTCAATAACGCCTTATACCTTAATAACCTTATACCTTAATAACGCCTTATACCTTAATAACGCCTTATACCTTAATAACCTTAATATAACTTGTAATTTAAATTAATTATAACCGAATTTCAATTATTTATATAAACTTAAGTTTTGGTATCTTTACGTTACCCAGGAATATAGGTTACCTCGCGAGTTATGTGTGCGCGGATCTACTATCAGTGAATGCATTGTTGTGGATCGGTCTGCTTGTGCCAGCTATTGTGTTCTTCATTTTCCTCATCATGCCAGAAACCCCAGAGTTTCTCGTCAAGCAAGGCAAGATTGATGTAAGTACCTATTATACTATTTTTAATTACAGTTTTATTATATACCTAGCTGACTTTGAACGCGTGAAATTGAACGTTATATTTCTAAAATACAATATGCGTATATTAAAGCACATGAGGATATTGGTCACATAGAATAGACTGATTGTGACTGATGACTGATGACTGTGATTGGTCACATAGAATCTTGATATCCTTGGCTGCGTATGACTAATATTAATTAAATATTGTTTTTTGTTCAACATTAAAATATGAATGTACTCAAATCGACTGCATTTTTGCATATTGTTATGTTTGTGTCGTCTAAATCTGAACTTTTGTTGATTTATTTTTAACTAGCTGTATACATGACTTCGTCCGCGTGGAATTTTATTTTATTTTTCTAAAATAAAAGTAGCCCGAATTACTCTTTATTACATCAGTGACCTGCCAAAAAAGTCCCGTCAAAATCGGTCCAGCCATTTCAGAGTTAGCCGGAACAGACAGACAGACAAGAATTGTAAAAATTGTTATTTTGGTGTACATACCGTATTTATATTCATATGCATGTGTAGTAAAAAACGGTTATTTCAATATTATAAACTTTCATCCCTTATTTCAGCCCCTTTCATAAGATTTTTTGATAAAATATGCTATTGTTAGTTTTGTATGTATCTGTGAAAACCTGTAAATGGGCAATCTGTTTTAATTATGTTTATTATTACATATATTCTTTGAAGTTCGGTAATAATCCTAATTAAAAACAATGTGAGCAACGCTGGACTAATCTCTAAGAGAGATCTCTACAGTCGATCCAACACAGCGTGGCCTAGCTGGCAATGAGTGGGCAACACTAGTATTGTGTTTGTAAATCTTAGTTTTCCAAATACAAATAAACTAGCTGTGCACGCGGTTTCACACACGTAAAATTTCTAATAATATAAAATATAGCCTATATGTTATTCAGATACATAAGCTATATTCCTGTAAATTTTATCAAAATCCGTTCAGTAGGTTTTGCGTGAAAGAGTAACAAACATTCATACTTACAAACTTTCGCGTTTATAATATTACTAGTCACTCGCCCCGACTTCGTCCGGGTGTACATGTATTATATATATAAGCCTTCCTCTTGAATCATTCTATCTGTTAAAAAGAACCGAATCAAAATCCGTCGCGTAATTTTAAAGATTTAAGCATACATAGGGATGGACAGACAGCGACAGCGACTTTGTTTTATACTATGTAATGATTAGGATTAAGATTAAGATGATTAACTATTATTATTTTCTATAATTTCGTTTATTATCTATTTTATTTACCCTAAGGGCTCGTCTGAAAATCAGCGTTGTAGCTTCGGCTGCAGCAATATGCTGAGCGGAGTCCTGTTTAGCAAATACTTGTTAGTAGTGTATTCAAATTCAAATTCAAATTCAAAAATCATTTTTTCATGTAGAACATTTTACCCGCTTATGAACGTCAAGTTTTTACATTAGAATTTTTTTCCCTACCGTCCTGTTCGGTATATAGATCCAATTGAGAAGAACTGGCAAGAAACTCAATTGAATTACTTTTTTTTTTAAATCCAGTTTATTTACAATGCATAGGTATATAACTATATAGGTGTCTATGTCTAACGTTAAATGAAAATCCCGAACATGAAAACGATTGCCATGCACGCTCGTCATTCAAGTAATCGTTTAGTGAGCATGTTGGAGCTTCAGCAGCTCCAATAATACATATGTTGATAAATAGTTTAATTGCTGATTCTTTACAAGATTATAAAATAAGGTGTAACTTTGCCGCCGTACTATGCACAAGTGGCGGTCGGCTCCGTTCGGGTATTGTCGGTGTCCTCCGGACGGACCCCGTTGGTCGCGCTGCTGGTTGATCAGAGTGCCGTGTAATGAACATACTCCCGGACGTTGAATGCTATGCCATTCAATAGATGGGAAGTACACATATGTTGTTGTATGCCCTCGTGATGATGCCTGTCTTCGTACGAATCTATATTGTAGTGTCAGAGCCAGATAACTTTGTGATCCGCCCTAATAACCAAAGGAGCGGTGGCTGCACTTTGTCCTTGACTATGACCATGGCTCCAACCTTCATTTCCTCTCCCTCTGATGACTGCCATTTTGTTCTCTGTTGGAGAGTAGATATATACTCGTTAGTGTATCTTTTCCAAAAATGTTGTCTCATCTTCTCGATCCTGTCATGGCGTTGTAGATGATTGATGTTGGCATCGGTGACCTGAGGACACGGAAGTGATGTGAGAGACCGTCCAATAAGGAAATGGGCAGGTGAAAGGTAGGAAAGATCCGAAGGGTTTGTTGATAAAGGGGTAAGTGGACGCGAATTTAAAACAGCCTCTATCTGAATCAGACAAGTCGACATTTCTTCGTACGTTAAATGAGACAGAGAAAGAATTCTACGTAAATGATATTTCACGCTTTTTACGGATGCTTCCCAAAGACCTCCGTAATGGGGCGTGTAAGGAGGGATAAATTTAAATTCTATGCCTTGCTGTGTGATGTCACCTGAGCAATTATCAAGCATTCGTTTGATTTCATTAGAAGCACCTACAAAGGAGGTGCCGTTGTCAGAATGTATAGTAGAAGGCTTGCCACGGCGAGCCATAAATCGATTTAAAGCTAATAAAAACCCTTGCTTTGTGAGGTCCGTCACCAGCTCCAAGTGTAGTGCCTTCACTGCAAAACAGACAAAGACACATATGTAAGATTTAGTGAGCCTTCCACCTCGACCTTTCCTATCTGTTATTAATATTGGTCCTGCATAATCTATACCTGTATTTTGAAATGGATAATCAAGTTGGGACCGCGATGATGGTAAATCTGCCATTTTAGGCTGAAAATGTCGAGGATTAAATCTAAAACACTTTATGCATCTTTTAACAATTATTTTTACTAAATTTCTACCGTTTAAAATCCAATAATTCAGTCTTAAGTTTGCTAATAAAAGTTGGGGTCCAGCATGTAGTAAATTTACATGATACATTTTAACAAGCACTTTCGTAATATGATGCTTGCTACATAATAAAATAGGATGCTTAATGTCGTATGAGTAATATGAGTTAGCAAGGCGACCACCAACTCGAATTAAATTATTAGCATCAATAAATGGAGATAAACTATTCAATCTGTTCCTCCTTTCAAGAATTCTATTACCCCTTAAAATGTTATATTCATGAGGAAACATTGCCTGTTGACAAATATTTAAAATTATATATTCTGATGCTTTTAATTCTGTAGTACATAAACAATTATTCATTTTAAGGTTTGATTTTTTACAATTATTAATAAATCGTTTTATGTATGCAACAATTCTAATTAATTTTGTATAATTTGATGATTTAAGTATAAATAAATATATGGAATTATTTTGTAAATGTGTGTCTCCGTTTGTGTGTGTTTTTGTATGTATGTCTGTACTTATTAGCGTGTATGTTTTTGTGTGTAGTGAGATATCTGGTAAATGTGTAACTGATGTGTTAGGTTGTTTCGGTATCGTGATTGTCTTTGTATGTAAAAAGTAGGGCCCGACCACCACAATTCTGACATACTGATGGATTCAGACCTCACGCCACGAGAAACCAGGTCTGCCGGATTGTCTTGTGACGGTACGTAACACCACTTATGTCCACTCGTGGTTTCCTGAATTTCGTTAACGCGATTACGAACAAAATGTTTTAATTGACTAGTTGAAGCATTCAGCCACCCCAGTACTATCATGGAATCACTCCAAAAGAAACAGCGCGTAAACTGTAAAGTAAGTGAATGTATAACCTTTGTAAATAATCTTGACCCCAGCAGAGCTGCACAAAGTTCCAGTCGTGGGATTGTAGTCGGTTTTACAGGGGCTACTTTGTTTTTGGAAGTTAATAAGTGTACATATACCTTTTCATCAGTCATTACCCTAACATACACACAGGCACCATAAGCGAGTTCTGAAGCATCTGTAAATGTATGTATTTCGATCGATGATTTTAATGTAGAGGATACTAATGCGCAATGAATTTAACAAAGGTAAGGAATCGATAAAATCTATGAATTCTTTTTTTATCGCTTCTGGAATTTCATCATCCCAGCCACATTGAATTTTCCATAACTGTTGTATGATCAGTTTAGCTCGGACTGTGCATGGACCCAACAAGCCAAGCGGATCAAAGACCTGACTTGTAAGAGATAGGACATTACGTTTCGTTATTTTGTCGTCATTGTTCTTTATTTGAATAGTAAACAAAAACATATCAGAAATAGTATCCCAATTCAGACCGAGAGTTTTACATGGCTGATATTGATTTAAATTTAATGATTTTTCTGTATCAATTAACTTTTTATCGGTGGTAATTGACCGTAACAAATCTATATTATTTGATTGCCATTTACGTAAATTAAAATGAGCAGATTCTAATACTTCCTTTACAATTTGACATTGTTTTTTAATGGATTCAATGGTATCTCCCACTCAAATAATCATCCACATAAAAATCTCTCTGTATTGAAAGTGAAGCGTGACGATCAGAGCAAGCGTTACTTAGTGATGCCAGACATTTGGTTGCTAAATACGGTGCCGACGCGGTGCCATTAGTCACCGTATTTAATTTATAACACTTTAAAGGGTCTGACGTATTAAATCGAAATAATATTTGTTGTAATGAACGTTGTTCGGGTGTAACTAAGATAGCTCTATACATTTTTTCGATGTCACCAGTGACTACGTATTTATGTTGCCTAAATCTAAGAAGAATAGAATAGAGGTCCTCTTGTACAACTGGGCCTATACATTGTATTTCATTATATGATTTACCGGTAGAGGTCGACGCTGAAGCGTTGAAGACAACACGTAGCTTCGTAGTGGAGCTGGATTCCCGTGTGATTCCATGGTGAGGTAAGTAATATGATTTACTTTCGGTTTTTTGTTTATTTTCTTCCATGTGTCCTAGTAGAATGTACTCATGCATGAAATCTGCGTACCTTTGTTTCAGGGTCTCATCGCGTTGCAGTCGACGTTCAAGAGAAAGGAATTGACTCCGTGCTTTCATGTATGAGTCGCCCAACACCTCAGGGGACTCCTTGAGTGGTATAGTTACAACAAACCTACCTCGACTATCACGCCGTGTATTATTATTGAAACTTTCTTCGCAAAACCTTTCTTCTGCTGACTGAGAATACCTGGGAGATACGGACTCAAGCTCCCAAAAGCGAGTCAATTGTGTATTTTCGCATTGTGTGAGAAAGCATGATGGGTTTTGGCGTATTATTTTGGTATTACGATTATGTGTCACTGGGTCCTGGTGAATCACGCCTGTCACAATCCAACCTAACTTAGTCTCCTGAAGCTTAGGTTGTCGCTTGCCGAGATTTATAGTATTAGAACCTAAGACATCCCAAAATATTTCAGCTCCGACTAGGATTTGAACCGCATTTGGAACATTGAAAGACGGATCAGCTAACTGAATTCCAGGGGAAGTTGTATATCGGTATTTATGTATGTTGAGGGCAATGACTGAGTTATATTAGGCAAGATATAACAGTTAAGACGCACCCCATAATCACTAGACCGAGATTTAATAGTGAGATTGCAAGACTCTGCACTTACGGTAAGCTGGTTATTAATACCAGATATGGTGGAATTGGTGTTACGTATTACGAGACCCAGCTTCTCGCAGAGCTGCCGTGTGATGAAGTGAGAAGTACTTCCATTATCCAACAGCAAACGCGCAGTATGTCGTCCTTGAGCGTCTGACACTTGCACCAATGCTGTGGATAATAAAATGTGTGACTGAGAAGACGTTTGAACAATATTTGTTGATAAGACAACATTTTCTGAATGTATAGTTTCAGTATGTACATCTTTGTGCAACAGTGTGTTATGTTTCTCCTTACAATATTTACAATGTGATAATTTACACTTATTTTCTTTATGTCCTGGACGCAAGCAGTTTTGACATATGGAGTAACCATTAACTTTTTGTATGCGAGTATCCACATCCAAATCTCTAAATAACTGACAAGTAAAAAGGTGATGACTCTGTTTGCATAACGCACAAGATATAATGTAATTATTACTGCGATTATTGTTGGTTGTAACTGTAAATGTTTTATTTTTTTGATTGTTAACTGTGTTAGTATATGGCGTATATGTTTTATTTGCATTTTTGTTATATTGTACAGTATGTAGTAAGTCAGCTCTGTTGTTTAAAAATTTTAAAAATTGTTCTAAAGTTTCGCCGTCATTACGATCATTTCTCAGTTCTTCCCATTTTAAATTAGATGTATAATCCAATTTTCTAGACATAATATAAATAATAAGAGTGTCCCAATGGTCTGTAGGTTGGCCAAGGGCACTTAATGACCGTAAGTTTTTGTTAATTACGTCTATCATATTACGTAAAGACTGACTAGATTCTTTTGGAATCGCTTCTAAATTAAATAATGCATTTAAATGATTGGTTATAAGTACGCGAGTATTATCATATCTTTCTGATAATAATTGCCAAGCTATTAAATAATTTTCTGAACGGAAGTCTAAATTTTGAATAACTAGTGAGGCGCTGCCCTTTAAGGCTGCTCGTAAATAATGAAATTTATTAATGTTACTAAGATTGCTATTTTCGTGTATTAAAGAAATGTACATATCTCTAAATTCCATCCAATTTTGGAAATCGCCTGAGTACTGAGGTAGGTCGATTTTGGGAAGCCTCACAAAATCATGTCTGGCTGAGTGAAGTCCACTTATTTCTTCAACGCACATGGAGCCGCGCGGACCCCGCGAGTTAGCGAGTAAAGTACGAGCTACGGCAACCAGTCCAAAATACTGGTCCTCAAATTGATCTCTTTCACGCTCCTGTTGATTGCTGCTGCTCCACACAACGACTCCGCCTCTGCCTGTAAATCGTCAAAATCACTATATAGGGATTCTATTTTGCTCAAACGACATTCGAGCTCGGCTTCTTGGACGGGATTTAAATTTAACTGTTTCTCTAAAGAATCTAAATATGTACTGAATTTAGTAAGTCTACCTTTCATAGTTCCGCGTTTGATATTGATTTCTTTAAGTTTACTAGCAGAAAACACATCACTATCACTATCTTTATTCATTGTGAGAAAAAAAAATGTAAAAAAATATAATTTATAATGTACTAAATATTATTTAAGTTATGTTATAAACCCGATAAAACGCAGGTAGCTGAATGTCTATTACTGACCGGTCTCGATGCTGCATATAAGAACAATAGGAACTGCAGCTGACGACCGATAAGCAAACAAAAACAATAAGTGGGTACCTACGCAACTATGCAAGAAAGTTCTCGATCGCTCGGTCGATTAATATACGAAAGTACTATTGCTATTATATTATTTGCTATTTAGTTATAATATACGTAGCATTTACTGAAAAATCACTTATTATATCTATTATGAAATAAATAATTAACTTTTCTGGTTATGCAATTGAGTATTTGAATAAAATATTTATATGATTAAAAACATTTGTAAGTAACCGATAAGTACGTTTTAAAAATAAGAATTTACTATCTGGCTATATGTATAAGAGATCAATATGCCTGATCCAGACAAGACTGATAGAAAATTCTGAATGTATGTATGTAGGTATGTAGGAATAAAATGGAATTATGGAACGGACTCACAAAACCCGTATCGATGAGGTACTCCGAATGTTCACGTTGCGTTAATTTGAAGAATTGAACACTGGTTTGGAATCTTCACAACTTCTTATTTCCTTTACTGATGCCCCGGCCGCACCGACCGGTCTATAGTGCAATTGTATGACGTGGTTGAATGACTTGCTGTATCGGCGTAGTCGATTTATATCTTGTAGTTTCTTGATAAACCCTCGAAGGACCTTGTTGGAGCTTCAGCAGCTCCAATAATACATATGTTGATATGATAAATAGTTTAATTGCTGATTCTTTACAAGATTATAAAATAAGGTGTAACTTTGCCGCCGTACTATGCACAAGTGGCGGTCGGCTCCGTTCGGGTATTGTCGGTGTCCTCCGGACGGACCCCGCTGGTCGCGCTGCTGGTTGATCAGAGTGCCGTGTAATGAACAAGCAATAGGCCTTGCTCAGTAAATATGATTTAACAGATGTTTTGAATTTATTTAAATTTATTTATTATTGGTTTTAATTATTGTTTTACTGCATAGGAGTGGCGGTGTGTGTATGTGTTGATTCATGTATACATACTACAAAATTAATTTAATGTATGTATGCTAATGTTGACTTTTTTGCTAAATAAATGTATATTATTATTATTATTAAATTAGCCATTAAAATCCGTTGAGATGTTAACTCGTGAAATGTTAACAAACTGACAGACAGACACTTTCGGATATATAATATTGATTGTTTACCGGAAATACATTTATTGCTTATCAATAAAATGTATTAAGTTGACATTATGTTCCGGCACTGAGGAGAGCATATGAAAATGTCCGATATGAACGGCCAAGGATTTCCGCAATGCAATAATAATCAAATAATTTATACATTACCATAATAAAGTTCGAGGCCTAGAGATTTAATGGTATGGTTTTATAAGTGAACAATTTATTATTTACTAGCTGTTAGCTTCCTTGCTTACATGCTTGCTTACACGTCCCAAGGCCAACAACGTACTTGCAATTCCCCTGGTGTTGCGGGTGCTCATGGGCGACGGTCATCACTTACCATCAGTTGAGCCGCATGCTCGTTTGTCCCCTGTGTTATAAAAAAAATGCTACACGGATGACGTCGCCGTTCTAATTAGGTACATAAAAAATGTAATATAGAAATTTTTTTTTTTTGTTAAGCGTTTTGGGCCATTCTCAGATGCTTTAGACCTGTATAGTACTGCGACCCACATACATGAATTGTGCTCACCTATTTTCAAAGTTTGCTACCTAGACCCGTCAGGGACAAGAATTGAAGGATATTCTTAGGAACGATGGTTTTTATCTCCGGATAGAGTGTATACTTTCCAAAGGAGATATTTCGTTTATGCATGAGTGATCTACAACTACATAGGATGTGTAATGGCTACCACATTAGCTTGAAATCTGCAGATTTCTGGAGCGCATAGGTTTAAGTTTGCCATGTGTTTTTTCAATTTGGAGTGTCCCGTGACGGCCCTAGTCCTGATGCAAATATATATTGTTTTTACTCAAAAGTCAATTGGAGTATTGATTCGAGTTTGCTTAGTTTTACTAATTTAGGGCTTTATACTATTACATATTTAGTAATGGTAATGAACTGTACTTCTGAATAATTCCAGGAAGCAAAGACAGTACTAGCATGGCTCCGTGGGGTGCCCGTGGTGGATAGGACTCTGGAGCAAGACATTGACAGTGTGGTGAAAGTGGACAAACAGACTCGAGCCAGCGCGGCTTCCGTTTGGGGCATAATTTGTAAATATATTTTTTATTCAGTTGTCAGGGTCATTAAAGAGTTAATCGCGGTGAGTTTTGAAAATAGAAGGATTTGAGATCCATCCGACCTCTCGTATAGGGTCTGTTTTCAACATTTCCCCTCAAAAAAGAGGTCGATTATAATTTACCTTAAACCAATTTTAGTAATTATTGTTTTGATAAAAATTACCTCATTGTATAGTTAGGTGTATTTTTTATTTTTCTCATAACCGCAAACATGTACGTAATAGGGTAATAAATATAACATCACTACGTTATTATACCGATACTAATTGATAATTACTAAGGAAATGCTATAAAATACCATAATACTTAGAAATATTTTTTCTATATTATTAGATACTAGCTGTGTTCGCGACTTCGTCGGCGTGGAATAGACGACAAATGAATTACCATTTCATCCTATTTTATTTTACCCTAAGGGTAATGTTATATACTTTGAATGTTACATTGTTTTATATTTCATCAACAGCTTGAAAAATAAATTTCACGCTTCTACCTTTTAAAATAACGATACTTTTATACAATTTTGCGAATCGAGTTAGTAGACTCCTGGAACATTGGATTCAAATAATATCCGAAGCACAAATAAGCATGTCAAGTGTTCGTTCACTATGGGTATACAATGATAATAATTCTAGCGATGTACCATATCAGGCCTCCACGCAGTTCCCCCTGGAAACCATATGTCGCGTACAAGCAGCAACAAAACGCAACACAAAAGGAGCGTTCTGATTGGAGCGCACACCCATCCAATTCAAATACGCACCGTAATGCAACAGACTTAAAATATCAACCGATCGATCTAACGTACATTTTGTTCACTCCACCAAATTTGTAATAAATAGTATATTTGCCATTAAATTCGAGACTATCAAGCGAAGTCTATCATTTCTACATCCCGTAATCTGCTGAAGACAACCTCACCGACCATCTGAGCATTCGAGCCGCATCATCACGTACTCATTTGGACCTTCGAGCCGAACGATCAAGCAAGAACGAGCGAACCACTGAGAACTTCATCAGATTACTCCACATCAAGACCTAACAACGTCTACAATATCAAGCCAGAACCTTGGGCAGCAGCAAAGCATAGTGGGAGACTTGGACAGACGAGATACCTGGCAGATCAACTCCGAGAATACAGCGCAAATCGGTACGACCACCAGATATCCTATCCTACCCCTATCCTGTACTTGTGTTCTGTATTGTGGTAAATATCTATTACAGTGTTTGAGACGCAGAGAGTTACCAGTGCACAACAGAGCAGCTTGCCGTCAGCTAGCAACTGCTTCTACTGTTCCTATACGTGAGTACTCCACCTTTCACTGTCTACCAATATGAGTGAACAATCTCAATCAACATCAAAGCCTCATTCTAAGTCACCATGTAAAATAACAATTACAGGCGATGATAACACGAATCAATTAATTCGTGATTTAGTCAAAAAACGATCAATTATCAAAGGCCGGTTTACCAGATTTCAAAACTTTATCAATACGTTTGAAATAAATTCAAATCTTTCTCGTCAAACAAAGGCAGATTTGAAGCTACGAATTCAAAATGCTGCAAATCTGTTCTCTGAGTTTAACGACCTTCAGTCTAAATTAGAAGAATTAGTTTTAGAAGCCGATTTAGATGAACAAATTGAGCAGAGAGGTCAGTTTGAAGACAAGTACTTCAACACACTGTCTCAAGCTGAATGTATGCTCAGTGGAGAAGATGACGCGTCATTTTCTAAATCATGCCCCAATTCTAGCGATTCCTTAAAACTTCCAGTAATTTCGGTACCTACCTTCACAGGGCTCAGCGATCAGTGGTTACAGTATAGGGACATCTTCTTATCATTGGTACATAATAATACGAATATAAGTAGCATTCAAAAGTTTCACTATCTAAAATCATCGTTAAAAGGTACTGCAGCTATGGTTATCGATTCGTTGGAATTTTCAGCTAATAATTATTCGGTGGCATGGGAACTACTCTTAAATCGGTTCAATAATAGTAGATTATTAATACATAACCACGTAAAGGCATTATTTACTCTTCAAACCGTGACTAAGGAGTCGCCAGATCAATTGCGATATTTAATCGACAATATTTTAAAAAATCTACGCGCATTAAAACTATTAGGCGAACCAGTCGATAGCTGGGATACACTAATTATATACATAATCGTATCGAAATTAGACAAAATATCTGAACGCGAATGGGAACAATATAAAATCACAGTTTTAAAACTTTCTGGTAACTCCGAATCGCGATTGACGGTAGATACATTATTAGCATTCCTAAAAGATCGGGCCGACATGTTAGAAACATTACTTGCGTCGCACAACAATTATAAACACGATTCAAATAACAAACAAATTTCAAACACGATAAAACACAACGTACATTGTAATGTTTCTAGCAATAAGCCACAAATCCACACGAAGCGATCTTGTTTATTCTGTGACAACGGTTATCATCCATTATATGCGTGTCAAACATTTATAAGCACTGATCTAGATTCTAGGCTAAAGTTCGTCAGTGAAAATAAATTATGCGACAACTGCTTGCGACCGGGGCATCGCCCGAATGAATGCAGGTTCGGTGGATGTAGGAAGTGTAACAAAAAACATAACTCATTGATTCATGAAGAGAGTGAAGTTTGCAACTTGTCACCGGTAAGCGAACGGAACACAGCTGCATTATCTATGCACTCTTCATTCACCGAGGCAGGGGGGCGCCCCGCAGCCGCCGTCATAGGTACCGATCTTAACATTAACAAGTATTCACGCTTATCTACGCACACAAATACATTATGCGCTCAGTATCGCTGTATGCAGCCAGTTCTTTTATCGACAGCGTTAGTCGATGTTTTTGACAAATATAATAATATTCACACCGTTCGCGCGCTTTTAGACTCGGGTAGCGAGCGATGTATTATGACGCAATCTTTATGCGATTTACTAAATTTACCAATTATACAGTCCACTCAAGAAATTCATGGGGTTGGTAATTCGATAACACAGTCCACAAAGATGTGTGATATTGAATTGAAATCCCGTATTAGCTCATACACTGCGTGCATACGATGTATTGTATTGCCGCATTTAACATCTACGCTGCCAGCGATACCGAAACAATACGCGCAGTTTCGTATTCCTGACAGTGTCCAACTAGCAGATCCGCACTTTTATGAACCCCAGAATATAGATATTTTAATAGGCGCAGATAAATTCTGGGATTTATTAAGTAATGGCAGAATACGATTACCTAACGGTCCGTTTTTGCAAAATACACGACTAGGCTGGATTATATCGGGTTCTGTAGGTGTAAATACGCAGAATACCGGTCATATCCAGTGTAATTTTTCACACGTTACCGATACACAATTAAAACAATTAAGGGAGCTTGAGAAAGTCACTAACTCATGTGAGACGCAAACTGATGACCAGCGAGAGTGCGAAAATCCTTTCATTAAAACTACGATGCGAAATAATGATGGAAGGTTTTGCGTTCGCATTCCTCTCAAGTCATCACCACATGAATTAGGCGAATCATATCCTCAAACCCTAAAGCGATTTTCATCGTTAGAAAGGCAATTACAAAAACATGATTATTACAAATTTCTAGACAAATTATTTTTCTTTTCTACATTTTCTCAATTATACCGTATGAAGAATATATTTGTATGTATACGTCAATTTATACACTACGAACGAAATTTTAAAATTAATAGGCTACTATTAACGAGCCACAAACGCAAACGTTTACCTTATGCAGCACCACAGGCGCTTCGATATACCATACGGGAGAAGTGGTGGCCTATTGCAAGTAGGAAGCTTGCAAGAAAGATTTCACATGAGTGTATTCTATGCAAGCGTATACTCGGTAAAACCTTGCAACCTCTCATGGCTAATCTTAGGCTTAGGAAACAGTTGAATGCTACTTATTCGTCTATGACCTATGGTGTTGATTATGTGGGACCTGTGTTTATATTGAATCGTAAAGGAATGGGCGCTAAATCCGTTAAGTCATATAAATATAAAAACAAATGTTTTCGTGCATGTTTCATGACACGCACAGTACTTTTGAAACTTGCAATCGATCTATCCACTGAAGCATACATTATCGTTTTGAAACAATCTGTTTTGCATCATGGTAAACCGCCTAAAATAATTATTCAACTTAATAAAATCAAATTTTCACATGTGCTACAAACAAATTTTCCAAATTATTATCTAATTATTGTAAGACATATAAGTCAATCTATTTTATTTCCCTCTATTCTCCTCATTTGGTGGGGCTTTTGGATGGTGGAATATGCACAAATTATTTTGCGCACGGTGTAGGTAACGGTCCTAAATTCTCTACCACTTTCCACAATGATACCCTATCCTAATAACCTTCAACCCTTAAGTCCTGCACACTCCCTGGTTGGTCGTCCGCTTACAGCACTAGTATGTCAGGACATGAGGACTGATACAGGGAATTACTCTATCATGATCAAGGAGTTGAGCAGATTTGTCATCAACTTTCGTTGAGATGGGGACGAAAATAAATGTCGGAGCAGCAAACAAGCGAAGACTCAACCGCAGTTCACATTGGAACCACTCAAGAGCTTCCAAGGCCGGGGGCATGTCGCGTACAAGCAGCAACAAAACGCAACACAAAAGGAGCGTTCTGATTGGAGCGCACACCCATCCAATTCAAATACGCACCGTAATGCAACAGACTTAAAATATCAACCGACCGATCTAACGTACATTTTGTTCACTCCACCAAATTTGTAATAAATAGTATATTTGCCATTAAATTCGAGACTATTAAGCGAAATCTATCATTTATCTACAACCCGTAATCTGCTGAAGACAACCTCACCGACCATCTGAGCATTCGAGCCGCATCATCACGTACCACCATAATAACAAAATCTTAGAGAATTTGTCACGATTGGCTAACTGACCTGGAAACTGACTGGTTTTAAAGAGTTCATAATACGCCCCTTGGACAATTCCCACAGCGCCATCTACTCTCAAACTAAGCAGAACTTGTGTTATAGGTACTAGACAACTGTCATAGTTATATAGTTTGTAAATACATACATAATATACGTAGAAAACACCCAGACCGATACCAACCCTCATACTCAGGAATATAACTTTGCACCGTGCGAAAATCGAACTCGCGACCATCGCAAGTAAATCGGTGTGCTAAACCGCTATACCACTGAGACCGTATTATTCCTTATATTATACAGTGTAATATAAAGTCATCACTTTGATTAAATTGTTTAATTTCAGGTAAGGATCAACCAACTCGCAAAGCATTCATCATCACCCTAGTGATCAAGATAGCCCAGCAGTTCGATGGATACCTCATAGTACTTATATACGCTGGGCTCGTCTTCGGCAAGGCATCGGAAACCACCAACTTACACCTGAGTCCCAACAAACAAATTATTATGATTGGGGTCATACAGCTGATAGGGTCCACGCTAGCTACTTGTATCGTCGAGAAAACTGGCAGAAAGGTAATAACTTATTTATTATAAAATTTACAATAAGATACCAAAGGATATGTTGGAATTACCCTTAAATAAATTCAAAACATCTGTTAAATCATATTTACTGTGCAAAGCCTATTACTCACTAAACGATTACTTGAATGACGAGTGTGCATGGCAATAGTTGTTCATGCACTGAATTTTCATTTAATGTCAGACATAGACCTATATAAGTGTACAATGTACATAAATTGGCTTATAAATATCTTGCCAGGTCTTCTCAATTGAATCTGTATACTGAACTGGACGGTAGGGAGAAATATTAATACGAAAAACTCGACGTTCATAAGCGGCTAAAATATCCTAAATGATTTTTGATTTGAAAGGTTTGGAAAAACACTCTAGACGACACTTACATCGAATATATTTATTGTATGGCCGGACGTTATTCTGTGTTAAATAGACACTCGTTCCTGACATATTCCGTCAGCAAATGATATACAACATACAGCCTGTATTGCACCAATCTTATTATTATTATAAACGCGAAAGTTTGTGAGTATGGAGGGACGTATACGCAATCGTTTAGTGAGATAGCTTTGCTCGATAAATATGATCTAAAACCTGTTTTCAATACAATATTAGTTTTTAATTATATTATTGTATGGACAACAGTTGTATTGTGTGACAAGTTTTTGTTTGACACAAATAAAAATTTTCTTTTCTTTATATTCTCTCAGCTTTTGCTGGTTTTTTTATTTTTATTTTTATTATTATTATTTAAAGGTAATTCCAGTACACTCGGTCAATTTATTGTATATTTTTTATACCCATTCCCATAAATTATTATTATTACCTTGACTTATTCAGATATATTCAGATAGTGATGCTAAGGTAATTCGCTGACTGGTGAAGACTGGTATTACTTTTTGTTCAAACCAAAGTCTCGAAATTGTTAAGAAATTAAAAAAAAAGATATTATGATTGAACTGCATTCTTTTTATTTCAGTTGCTTCTCGTAACCGAAATTTAAAAAAAAGATATAATGAATGAACTGCATTCTTTTTATTTCAGTTGCTTCTCGTAACCGAAATTAAAAAAAAAGATATAATGATTGAACTGCATTCTATTTATTTCAGTTACTTCTCGTAACCGAAATTAAAAAAAAAGATATAATGATTGAAATGCATTCTTTTTATTTCAGTTGCTTCTCGTAACCGAAATAAAAAAAAAGATATAATGTTTGAACAGCATACTTTTTATTTCAGTTGCTTCTCGTAACCACCTCGTTTGCTGTGGGAGTAGGTATGCTGGTACTGTCAGCCTGGTTCTACCTGACCTCTGTCGGCGTCTGGATGCCAGGCTGGCTCCCAGTCTTCGCCATGGGGCTGGCCATCTTCGCTGACGCTGCAGGATTCCAACCTATATCCTATATTATTATCACAGATTTATTTACATTTCAGGTTTGTAACTTTACTGTTTTTACTCGATTACCAAAAGAAATAGGATTATATATGTTTTAGTGTAATTCGTTGTTTTTATACTACGTAGGTAGAGCACACGTCTTCACGTTCTGATGTTAAACAGTTACCGTACCCTATTTCATTAGTAAAGATTTATGAAAACTTTACTCAAATTAATACTGATTTGAATATTTTAAAATTACCATATACAGTATCGACAGAAACCATATATATAAAACAAACAAGAATGAACTGAGATAATATATATTTTTTTATATTTTTTAGACATAAGTGCCGTGTATACTTTCATATGCATTTAGTGAAAAGATGTTATCTCAGTCCATCTCCGTTTGAACTATGGCACTTATCATAGTTAGAAATAATGGAAATCATATAATTAAATCTTATTCCTTACTAATATTATAAATGCGAAAGTAACTCTGTCTGTCTGTCTGTCTGTCTCATTTTCACGCCTAAACCACTAAACCGATTTAAATTTAATTTGGTACACAGATAGTCTAGACCCCGACAAAGGACATAGGCTACTTTTTAATGTGAAAAAAAAGGTTGCAAGGGGTTGTAAGGGAATATGAAAGGTTCTATGGAAGTATCGTCATTTTACGCGGACGAAGTCACGGACGCAGCTAGTAATTTATAAAAACGCGAAGGTTTGTGAGTATGGATGTTTGTTACTCTTTCAGGAAAAAACTATTAAACAGATTTTGATGTAACTTTACCGTATAGCTTATGCATCAGAATAACACATAGGCTATATAAAATTTAACGCGGGTGAAGCCGAGGCCACAGCTAGTATTTAATAAATAGACTATGTATTCAATTGGGTTCATCAGATTTCTTGCCATTCCATTAAAAAATTTTTTTTTTTTCAGCTGCGTGGCACAGTATCATCGTTCACAAACATTTGTGCGAAGCTGAGTAACTTCGTTCAGATGAAATGGTTCACGAATCTCTGCGAGCTCATCGGGATCCACTGGACCTTCTTATTCTTCTCTGTCGTCTGCTTCTTCTCATGTTTTTACACTGTGATCGCCTTCCCTGAAACAAAACAAAGAACCATTGAAGAAATATATACTAAGTTGACTAGAAAAAAAGACAAAATGGTAGAAAATAAAATAGAAGCTGTACCGTAGTTGTAAAACAGACAATATTTATTGAAAATGTGTCATAATATATATATTTCACTAATGTGAAGAAAGAATTAAGACGCCATGAGTGAGAATACTTTAGTTTGGATTAACTCCATTCTTGTTAGTATTTAAATGAAGCCTTACATTTAAGGAGTTTAGGTGTTGATGTGTTGTGTTTTAGTTTGATGTTACAAGAGTAGTGAATGTCTATGAATATATCGGACGATTACAACTAATCTGCATTTTCTTAAAAATTTTAGAAAATCAACTTTAAATTGTTAGCTATTAAATACAATTTTCCAAAATGCAATTATTGAGTTGTTGTTGTTGTAGTTAGTACTTAGCAACAGTGATACATCAGTGTTAACTGTCTACTGTTTCATATTTAATAGCATTACGAACATAAAATATATTCTGTATAAATATCGTACGAGCGCATAAAGAATTTATGTATTTGCGTAAGCATGTTTAAGTAGTAGGTATAAAATACAATTGAAATAAGAATAAAATTCATATTTAAATGAGAGCAAATATATATTTGTATCAATACTATTAATGTATGTAAAGTTAACCATTAAGAGTATCAGGTAAATAATAAGCACAAATACATAAAAGCTCACGGAATTGTTTTATTATAATGATCAAATTTGATGACTGTGTATACATGAGATATGTCTACTCGTATATTTACAACTAGGACACATGACTTCGTCCGCGTAGAATTTAACTTTATTTTTCTAAAATAAAAGTAGCCTTATTACATCAGCTACCTGCCAAAAAAAGTCCTGTCAAAATCAGTCCAGCCATTTCAGAATTTAGTCGAACAAACAGACAGACTGACAAGAAATGTTATTTTGGTGTGTGTACCGTATTTATATTCATACGCGTGTAGTAAAAATCGGTTATTTCAATATTACAAACAGACACTCCAATTTTATTTATATGTATAGAATAACACTAGATATATGAATTATATTTGTTATTTAATACTTTTTTTCTATTACTTTTTCATTCAGGCATAATTTTTATGTATGATACGAGAAATATAGTTTCATGTATCGAGGATAAATCTTAGAATTGATTATATTATAAAGTAGTCAGCCATTTCAGATACAAGTATATATATAATCATAATTGACATTGCTACACCAAATTCAATATGTATCTTAAAATATTCATGATATCTGGAATTTTCTATTTTTATTACCTAAATTTGTATTCATAGGTCAAGAAATAAATGAAAAAACTTTAAATAACAAATGTTATATATTATAAGACAAGCTGTACCCGCGACTTTCTCCGGTTGGAATTTATTTTTATATTTTTATTTTCTGAAATAAAAAAAAACAATAATAAAAGTAGCCTAAGTTACTCCCTAAGCCTAAGCCTAAGTTAATCAGCTACTTGCCAGAGAGATTAACCGGAACAAACAGACCGAATGACAGACAGACAAAAATGTTTAAAAGTGGTTTTTTGGTATATCTACTGTATTTATATTCATATGCATGTAGTAAAAAACGGTTATTTCAATATTACAAACAGACACTCCAATTTTATTTATATCTATAGATCTATAGATTATAAGTGCAGTAAGTATAGTCTTTATTGGTGTATCTTGTTTGTACTTTACATTTAATTTGATGACAACTAACTATGACTAATGTAATTTTACTACTTGACGAATTTATATTATTTTGTTTTATTCCTCTCCAATTAACACGTGTTAGACCAAAAATATTCTGTGTGGAAACTTGATTACCGTTACGACCTTCTCTAATGGCGATCAAATGTAATATTAAATAAAAAACTTGTATACCATATTCTTAACACGATGATGTATTATGTTAGTAATTGACATATCAAAAGTTATAGATGTTGAAACGATATTTTAGTTTATCTAATTTAATAAAAAATATTATAGGTATGTTGTATTTTTAAGTTTTGATCTGACTACCTTGCGTGAACTTACCTGTTCTCCATATGGTATTAAATTTTTGTCACTCTAAAACAAATATTTTTTGTTGAATTATTCTAAGTGTAATATAGTTATTCCTAAATGTAACATAGTTATTCCTCTTTAGTAGCTGCAATATAATTGAAAAAAAATAAAAAATATTTTACTTTTTTTATTATATTAAATAAATTTAAATTTATAAGTTATAATAATAAAGTTTAGGACGGCGTCTACTTAGAAATATATTAACAATTACATACCTTGTCATAGTACTGATTTGGTTTGAAAAACATAAACAATTCATCGTCGCCTTCATATAGGTACATATAATAATATGTATATGAACAGAAGGTATTATCAATTATATTATCTGTGGTATTATAATGTGACGCCGACGATACCGTGTTGCCAATCCAAACCGCTAAGATCTGACCTCCTAAACATCTTAGTCTTTCTAAATAGCAACTAATTTCATAATAAAAAGTTAGGCTTAACAAATTTTTATTATTTATATGTAAATGTGATCAGTGAATAGATTTCACTATAATTTTATTTCTTTGATTTAAGACCAAAAAAAGTTAATTATTATAATTTCGATTTTATATAAGGAGAATGAATAGAACTATAGTTAAATTGCTAATGTAGACCAATTTCCATGAGATCCTCGTAGTAATTAAACTGTGAGTAACAATTATATAAACATTTTGTCCTTTGTCGCATTAATTAATTTTTGTCGTAATATATACTTATGTTTGCAACGGTCAATAAGATATTGTGACAAAGTACTAAGTGTTTACATATTATTAGTACTGATAACTGTATACCGAAATTAATATTGTTCAGAGGTGGTTAAACACCTCCCAATACTTGTGGGACCTAAAGAAAATCACCCGAAGAGATAAAAGAAAATAAAAATGAATAATGAAATTGTATTTTTTATTTAACTATTACGAAAACATAAATGCACAAGTAAATATTTTATACGACTTATTATTAGTATATAGGCTTATCAAAACTATTTTTATAAACTAGCTGTTGCCTGTGACTTCGTCTGCGTTTCCGTCGTTTATCGAAAAATAAGTAGCGCATGTCCTTCCTCACAATTTTCCTTCTAGTTTCGTTATAGAAACAAAAACTACTCGACGGATTTTAATGAAAGGGTACAATTATTCTTTATACTCCTGGGCAGGTTATAGTATACTTTTCATCACGCTACGATTGATCGTATAGTATACTTAGTATGTGGATCGATGATATTACTGCTAGCAATGTACCATGGCAGCTTGATATCCGCGCTGTTCCCCCTGGAAACCATTGCGATAAATTCTTGGTGAATTTGACAGCCTGTTCTCATACTCATCTTATCATCCTCCACTGGTGCCCTACCAGCATAAACCGATAGCACAGGCGGGTGCACCATTCCACAATCATCCATAAGTAAAAAAAAATGTCTCGTGAATGACATCTGAGCAAAAAAGTGGGCAGTTGTTTACCCCATCTGAGATTAGTCGTGAAGATAGATTATAATTCAATAATAATCCTAAGTAGAATTCCAGCAAAAACATAGGTAGTCAGAATAATCTAAGCAAGGACGGCGCGATAATCTCATCTAGATTAACAGCTAAAATTTAGATGAGGTCATCTTTTTAATGTTCGGTATCTAAATAAAAAAGTAACACCTATGAAACAATTAAAATAAGGTTCGTAAACAGGAAATTTTGATGCTGAGTGCGCATTTAAGGTACATTCTATTCGATAATAATAATATTGCAAATATATTACAATAGTATTATTGTACACTTGTGTTATGAAAAAACTCTGAAATAACTGCGCCGATTCGAGAAATTCCTGCACTGCTTGAAAAATCCTTTTTTCACCAGTAAAATGATATTAGTGTTAGTAAAAGGGTATTGTCATACTATAAACAGAATATTTATAATATAAACACCTCGTGTCGCATTGTTATGCGTGTATCGTCGAAAACCGAAAAAGCTTGACCGATTTTTACAATATTTTTGGTGTATATTTAGTAGGTCTAAGTATAGGTAGTTGGCTTTTTTAAGCCCTACATGATAAGATTAACCCTATCCAAAATAATTTGTATGGCAAATGAATCGTTTGTCTAATATCTACCTTGGTACCTAGCTATTTACAAAAATATTCACGACTTATATCAGTTGTTTAACGCATAGTACTTATACAAAATCTGCACAATTTGGGTATGGTTGGTGTATGTGAATTGTTCCGGGTTAGTACAATTGTTATTGCTTTTGTAACATCAATTTTATTTGTTGTTAACTGCACTTATTTCTGGCCTAATATGTTTTCTATAGTTCTAAATATGGAGAGTAGCTTAAGCGCCTGTTTTGATTTAACAAGCAATTAAACATTTACACTTATTTTGTAAATACTTGTACTAAATGTATTAGATAACGATAGGTGTACTCCGTTCCATTTATACTAATTTTATAAAGTGGTAAAGTTTGTGAGGTTGTATAGGGTGATCTCTGGATCTATTGAACGGATTTTAAAAATCCTATTACCATTACATTTACCATTAACCAATATTATAAATGCAAAAGTAATTCTGTCTGTCTGTCTCTCGCGCTTTCACGCCAAAACTATTGAAGCGACGTAAATGGAGGACCGATGGAATTTTGGTACACATATAGTTTATACCTTGAGAAAGAACATTGGCTAATTTTTAATGCGAAAAAGGTTGTATGATGTATGATAAGCTGCTAATAATATGAGATTCAAAGTTTCTGAAAATTATACCCTTAAAATAAAATAGGGGGTGAAACTTTGTATGGAAATTCATCATTTTTGAAGCTAGAACGATACCTCTTAGGCTTTAGGTAAGTAATATTAAAAAAAAATTATCATTTTTATTAAACTATTCCCTAAAACTAAAATGCATGATGATCCATCTGTGTACCAATTTTCATTTGTTTCTGTCCTGTCTGTCTGTAGGTTTTGCATAAAAGTTTAACAAACATCTATCAAGCCATCCAATCCTCAAAAACTAACACGTTAAAAATATTAGTGTGATTTTTAAATAATTCTAGTCACATTGTAACAACAATATAAACTTATATTTCCTTAGATATTTTAATGACTTTGCCCAAACTATAATGTTTTATGGCAAATTTACGAGCAGTGTCATCTTATAAACTAATTGCGCAAATACCTAATTTCGA